AATCCGGCACAGACGTGTTTCCTCAAGGTACGAGTTACGTCGTTGCGAATGCTGAGAATCATGGTTATAGCTCCTGCGGAGGCTGTTTTGGTCGTGGAGGTGGTCGTTATTGATGTGGTGGTGGTCGTTTTGACAAAACGCGAGTGTCAGATTTGTCACAAATCTGGACATGATGCATCCATCTGCTATTATCGTTATTCAAATTCCAGTGGTGCTGCGTATCCACCTCAAAGAGCTCCGTACAACCCTTTTCTCATGCCAACTCGCCCTATGTTTCAACCTTCATTTGGTTATGGAGCTCCACGAACAACAACTCCAAGGGCTACTGCACCACAAGCTTTCTTTGCATGTTCTGAAGCTAATTTCAACAACCAATGGTGGTATCCAGATTCAGGTGCCTCTCACCATGTTACTCTTGAGGCCTCTAATTTGTCTGACTCTGTCTCTTTGCTTGAATCTGAGTAGGTTTTTATGGGAAACAACCAAGGTTTGTCTATCAACTCTGTTGGTTCCATGTACTTTCCTTTACCAAACAATCCTAACATGTCCCTCACTCTTCACAATCTGTAACTTGTCCCTCACATCACCAAAAACTTGATGAGTGTATGCAAATTTGCAGAGGATAACAATGTTTTCTTTGAATTCCACCCTAGGTTATGTGTTGTCAAATCTCAGGCTTCTTCTGAAGTTTTGCTCCATGGTCTAGTAGGAGCTGATGGTCTCTACAAATTTCCTAATCCTGCCACTCAAATGTGCAAGCCTATTCCAAGTCTTAATACTTGTTCAACTCAAGTTTCTTCCATGAATAATTGTAGCTTAGATTATAGCTTATTTTGTCCTCCTGTAGCTTTTAGTAGCAACACTTCAAGTCGTAGTTCAAATTGTGTTCCCTCTTGTAATTATATTTCTTTCAATAGTAATGATATGAGCAATTTTTCCAATTTTCCTCATATCAATGATGTTACTCACAATCTTGAATTATCATCTCAACATGTTAATAGCTCTTCATCTATTTCGAATAATAAATATGTTATGTGGCATACCAGATTAGGGCACCCCAATCATCATGCTATCACTGAAATTTTCAATTTGTGCCATCTACCTATTCTCTCTAAACCCCCTGTTGAGCTGTGCACTACTTGCTATCTAGGCAAATCCCATAGGCTGCCCAACTCTTTATTCACCACTGGTTACAGCCAGCCCTTTGAGCTTGTAGTTTGTGATCTGTGGGGACAAGCTCCAATGACATCTTCAGGTGGTTATACCTATTTCTTGACATGTATAGATTCTTTCTCTATATTTGTTTAGGCGTTCCTTCTTAGACTCAAATCTGATACCATAATCTAATTCACTCACTTTAAGAAAATGGTAGAACTCCAATTCAACTATGCTATTAAGTGTGTCAAAACTTATAGGGGTGGTGAATTTAGGCCTTTCACCAAGTATCTAATTGATCTAGGTATTATTCATAGGTTCACATGTCCCCACACCCACCACCAAAATGGCATTGTGGAACGCAAACATCGCCATATTGTTGAAACTGGCCTAACCTTACTTGCCCAATCCACCCTCCCCCTTAAATTTTGGGATCATGCTTTTGTTACAGCTGTTTACCTTAAAAATAGACTTCTTATCCCCACACTTGAAAATCACTCACCTTATTCTAAGCTTCTTGGTAAACCTCCTGACTATTCTAACCTTAGGGTGTTTGGATGCTCCTGTTACCCATTTCTTAGGCCTTATAATTCTCATAATCTGGATTATTGGTCCCAAGAATGTATATTCCTTGGTTACTCTACAACTCACAAGGGGTATAAGTGCCTTGTATCTAATGGATATATTTACATCTCTAAGGATGTTTTTTTTCCATTAATTCTCAATCCACTTCAGCCTCATCTTCTTCCCCAGTGTCAGCTTGGTCTCTACCACTTATTTTCACTACTTCTGTTCCAAGTCAGGATAACAGTCTTTCTTCTTCTTTGTTATCCAATCCTCAACCATTTGTCCCATCTAATTCTACTTTTGTCCTCACTCTCAGTCCCTTACCAGCTTCTGCTTCTCCTGGCCTTAATGTTACTCCTAACACACCCACATTCTCCTCTACTTCCACTTCTGCTCTTATCACATATGATCTTGCAGAAGCCAGTACTACATCTACCTTTTCCTCCAAAACGCTCTCTTCTTATCCAACCCTGTTAATACCACTTCACCTCAACCCTTTATTAATCTTGTAAATGTTCATCCTATTCAAACCAGATCCAAATGAGGCAATACACTGCCCAGACTTCATCCCACCTTGTTACTTACACACATGGAACCAACATCAGTTGACCAGGCTTTGGCTACTCTTAAATGGTTTCAGGCAATGCAGGAAGAGTATCAGGATCTGCTGAGAAATCAGACCTGGACATTAGTAAAGTCATCTGGTTCTAGGAAGCCAATTGGCTGCAAATTGGCCTTCAGGTTAAAACAGAATCCTGATGGTTCCATAAACAAATAGAAGGCCAAACTGGTAGCCAAAGGGTTTCATCAAAAGGCTGGAAGTGATTTCACTGAAACATTTTCACATGTGGTTAAGCCTGTAACAGTCAGGATTGTGTTAACCCATGTAGTCTCCAATAATTGGACTATTCAGCAAATTGATGTCAATAATACCTTTTTAAATGGCACTCTTGAAGAGGAAGTGTTTATGTAACAACCTCCAGGGTTTGATGCATCTGATAAGTCTCTTGTGTGTAGATTGAACAAAGCTATTTATGGATTAAAACAGGCTCTCAGTGCCTGGTTTGACAAACTTAAGAGTGCTCTTATTCAGCATGGGTTTCAGGCTAACATGTGTGATCCAAGCCTATTTTTGTTTAATCATGGCAGTCTACAGATCATGATACTTGTCTATGTTGATGATATAATCATCACGGGCAATTCTGCCTCATTTATAGAGTCTTTAATTAAGCATCTTAATGAAAAATTCTCTCTTAAGAAGTTGGGAAAACTGGATTATTTCTTAGGCATTGAGGTCACTCATCTGTCTAATGGGCCCTTACTTCTTTCTCAAACAAATTACATCACTGATTTTCTGGCCAAGGTGAACATGTTGAATGCAAATAGTAGGCATACTCCTATGATTTCAAGTAGTAAGCTCTCCAAAATAGGTTTTACTGTTGTTGATGATCCTACACAGTTCATATCAGTTATTGGTGCTCTGTAGTATGCAACATTATCTAGGCCTGAAATCTCTTTTTCAGTTAACAAAGTATGCCAATTTTTGTCCAATCCCTTGGAGGAACATTGGAAGGCAGTTAAACGAATTTTAAGATACTTATGTGGCACTTCTCAACATGGCCTTCTTATTCAACCTGCTTATACTTAGTAGCCATTACAATTGCTTGGGTTTTGTGATGCTGGTTGGGCATCAAACCCTGATGACAGAAGGTCCACCTCAGGAGCATGTGTTTTTCTAGGCCCTAATGTGGTTTCTTGGTGGTCTATAAAGTAGAAGCTTGTAGCACGATCCAGTGCAGAAGCAGAGTATCGTAGCATGGCTCAATTGGCTGCTGAACTAATATGGATTCAGTCTTTACTTAAGGAACTACACTGTCCTTTCCAGGCGCTTAAGATTTTGTGTGACAATTTGAGTACAATTACTCTTGCTCACAATCCCGTGCTTCAAAACAGGACTAAACATATGGAGCTAGATATTTTCTTTGTGCGTGAGAAAGTCCTCAGCAAGAGTCTTATTCTAGTATATGTTCCAGCTCAGGATCAATGGGATGGTGCCTTGACCAAACCTCTGTCTGTAGCTAAGTTTGTGCCTCTGCGTGACATGCTCAGAGTGTTCAACAAGAGTGACTTGTCAAGCACCCTCTCAGCTTCTAAGGGAGAATGATAGATATAATATAAATAGAGATTAGTTGCTATTTATATAAATGATGAGTTGTCATGTTAGTTAAATTGTATTAGTTTGTTACAATTAGTTACAACTCCTACTCTATATATAGAGTATTCATTGTATCATTTGCTTTATAAAATACAATGAGAGTTTCACAAACTACTCTCTCTTTTTGCACTATGATATTGTAACAAACCTCGTGTATTGATAAAAGAAAGAAAATACAAAAGAGTTGGAGGGGGGATTAGGCCTAACCCTAATTCTAGGAAAATTTAAATCCAATTGCAGAACGTTGGGCAAAATTCAAATTTATCGAGGACCTTAATCATGAAGCTCCAATATAAAGTGTCAAAAGCTTTGACTATATCAATCTCTACTGCTAAGTTTCCATGAAGAGATTTGTAATCTAACATGTTTATTACTTCTGAGGTGAGACAAATGCAGTCTTTAATGCTTTTATTATTATTAAAACCACTTGTTCCTTGGAGATATGGTTAGGAAGGATTTGGGGTAGTCTATCTGCAAGGACTTTGGAGATAATTTTGAATTTGAAATTAGCCATGGTTATTGATCTATATTGACCTAAAGTATCAACATTTGTGGTTTTTAGAAGGAGAACCACATTATTGGAATTCGTGTTGGGGAAGCGAGTTGTGAGTGAAGAAGTCAATGACAACTTTAGACACATCAATACTAATGATAGACCAATATTCCTGAAAGAAAAAAACCCTAAAACCACCTGGTCCAAAGGAGCTCTTTTTGTTGAGGGTGAAAACTACAACTTTTTATTTCACCATGCAAAGGGATGAGAGATATCATGTTGTTGATGTTGTCATTAGTAAGATGGGGAATGTATCCATCAATAAAACCATTGTCCTTGGTGAGAGATGACTTGGTAAACAAAGAACTATAATAACTAGTGTCATAATTTGAAATTTTTGTGGGATTAGTTTCTAGTACTCCATCAATTCTAGGGGACACAATCTTTTTGTATGCCTGCTTCATTGTGGTAGACATGTGGAAGAAAGCGGTGTTCCTGTCTCCATCTTTGTGCCATTTGATTCTAGTTTTCTCATGCCAAAACATCTCTTCTGATGCAAGAGAATTCTCAATTTCAATCTTAGCATGATTTTCCTTAATTAACAAGAGAGTATTGGAACCCTGGCCACTTATCCAACTTTGAATGTTGTCTAGATTATCATTTGTCTTTATTGGAGGGCATTGACAAAGTGGTGTTGTGGAGGGATGCAAAGAGGTTTTCGGATAAAAATAATTTCAAGCGATTATATGCCTTGAGGTTTTCTAATGTGGTTGTCGATGAGAGAAAGTTATTTTAGTTTGATCGGATGTGGAAAGTGAGAGTTCTATGTAAAGTGAAGTTGGTTGGTTGGAGACTCCTTTTGAATACCTTTCCTACTAGAAGAGAACTTTGCTTTAGAGGGTTGGTGTTAGCAGTGGATGCATTTTTATGTCTCTTGTACGGGTTAGAGGAGAAACGGTAGGTCATCTTTTCCTTTGGTGTATTAAGGTTAGACTTCTTTGGAAGGAGGTTTTTTGTTGGCTTGGAATGAATTTCGAAGGCCGTTTAGGTGTGGTTGGTTCGATGGATGTTAATATCGGGGAGGCTTTCTTGGAGCTTCTTTCAGTGAGTTTGATTGGTATTATCAAAATGTCCTTCTTTGCTTTTTTTGTGGATGTTAGTTTGTTGGTATATTTGGGTTAGTAGAAATAAAATTGCTTTTAATAATTTCGGGTGGAATTTGGTTGAAATACTCCTTTTCATTAAAATCTTTGTTTGGATTGGTTTTCTATCTTGTCTAAGGGTAAGGGTGATTATATTAGGGAGAGATGGTTCTCCAATCCTTCTTTGTATCTAGGGTTGTAATTTTTTTAATTGTGTTTCCTTTGCCTCTTGTTAGTGATTGTTATCTTATTATTGGTTCCCTTTGTATTAGATTAGTATCCGTTGTGCTTTTAAATACAAGTGTTTATCGGAAAAAAAAACTTGCCTTCTTGACTTGATCATGAACATTTTCAAAAACTATTTAGTTCCAAATTCTTAGCTCTTGTTTCAAAATTTTGAGCTTTGTGAGTCCATATAGTCATAAAGACATACCAATGACCCATTGATTCGACTAATATCCCCAATAGTATATTACTTTGATTGGAATCTTAATATATTTTCTGTAATAGAATTATCAAATTTATTACTATACTAATATTTAGTTTCAATAAACTACTTAAAATTGATTAATTCTTTAAGTAAAACTATTCCAAAGTTGATTAGAAGGTTTTGAGTTGAAACCATCTAATAAATGTTCATTTTTTGCTGAACCATGTAATAATTGACTCTATATATCTCTGTAACAGAATTCATACAATGATCCTAGAAAACGTAATCCATGGTATCCTGCCGTAGCTGCAATGGTAAGTGGTGACATGTCATATTTCTATGGCGTTGGCTTCTTAGGTTTTCAAGACACTTTGTGGGATGATGCTGGAAGACATTACTTCCATAATTGTTTCATTGAAGGTGCTGTTGATTTCATATTTGGTGCAGGCCAGTCTTTATACGAGGTATATAATTATTTTTTTGTCGGTAGATGAAATGGTAATAATCGAAAATATATTTTTGATGTTTATATATATTGTAATATCCGCATAGGGTTGTACGATTTCGGTTATTGCGGCTTCATTAGGACCAGGAGTACCTGGAGTTATAACAGCACAAGGAAGAACAAATCCTAATGATGCAAATGGTTTTGTTTTTAAGCATTGTAAGATATATGGAATTGGTACAACATATTTGGGAAGACCATGGAGAGCTTATGCTAGGGTTTTTTTCTACAATAGCAATATGTCAAATATTGTTCACCCTCTTGGTTGGGATCCATGGAATTTTGTTGGACACGAGTAAGCGTTTTATTTTATACACTATTTATTTGTTCATTTGTTTGTTTCGTTAATTCAGTTCAGTTGATACTCTATAAAAAAAAAAAGGTTTAAAATACACTGAAATATTAATTCTATATTTATTTGAAATTTTTTAATATCTAGCCATTTTTATCTAAATTTTAAAATTAGAAAATGCTTTAGTACAAGATGAGAACATTTTAATGGCAATTTTTTATTTTTTTATTTTTCATTTTAATTTTATTTTACTTGCATGTTTGAAATTGTGAGTGATTTTGATATCAATCTATACTTTTGCAGGGATCGTATTCAATTCTCAGAGTATTTAAATTATGGAGATGGTTCTATCACAAAGTATAGAGTGAAATGGACTAAGAATTTGGATATGCAAACTATTAATACAATGGCAAGTCTTAGTTTTATTAATAATGATGGATGGCTTCAAAATCAACCATTATAAATCAAACGGGTAGGGTTTGTTTTGATGAAAAGGATGAAATTTTTGTTTGTTGATATTAAAAAAAAATTATGATGGTATTGTTGTTAATTTTTCATGATGGTATTGTTTGTTGTTAAACTATTATTATTCTTATAATTTTGTTTTTTTTCAAATTCTTGTAATCGCTTTTAATCTATTTAACTGAAAATAAAATGAAAATTATGTTTGGAGTTGTATTCATTAAGTTTTGTTTCAATGAAAAATAACATATGTGAAGGTGTATAATTAAGGAGTGTCAGCAACTGAGAATATTGTTAATACTTGTACTGAGTTTTTGCCCTTAAGTGTGTAAGTTGTGTCAAGCCAGCAAAAACAATGAACAAGTGCATCACTCATGAAACCAGAATATGGAATATATAAATGAAGAAAAGAACAAAATCAAGAAAACAGCACAGATCTATGTGAATCCCTCACTTTCAACCAAAAAACATCATAGTAGAAGTCATGGATCTATGTGATACACCATGTCTTCTTTGATCTATTTTTCAAGTTGTTCGTTTTTAACAAAATAGTTAAACAATACAATACTTAACCCGATAAAAGATATTCATATAATGCAAAATATACTACATATAAAATAAATTATTTTGATTTCCTGACCTTTTTTTTTCCAGTGTTTATTACATCACTCATATATTAACAAAACCAACTACAATAAATTTATGTTTACTCGTAACGATGGATAGAGATATCAATAATGGAAAAAAGTGATATTAAAGTTCTTGGACAATGAGACTAATATGATATTATATCTGGAAGCAATAGAGTAACTCATATCAAAAATCGTCTTCCATTTGTCACAATCCTATACACCCAACTAGTTATTCGCAACGAACATCCAACTTCATATTCGTGTCATATATAACATATTGGAATGCACTGGATGGTGTTGACTAACTTCAACATCTAACTATGTCCGAATTAAAGGTTAGGACTCTTCGCCACATCTAAGTAAATATGCAATTGCACGAAAACATACAATTTACATCTTGACCCACATTACAATGTCATCAATCTACTGATGTAAAAAAAATAGGAAAATGAATCAAGTAAAGAAGTCTTAATAACTGACTAACTAATTGACTTTTATTTAGTTTTGTACATGATATTTCTTCGTCGTCTGATTTTTCTGTGAGCCCTAAGCAGTCCAAATGCCAAGAATCACGATACATTTTTAACTTTAGACAAGAATAATAAACAATGGCTTAAAAAATGTTGTTTAAAGAGTAATATGTCAAAATTTTATACAAGTTGATAACTTTTTAGATTTTTGGTGAAAACCTAAAAACTTGTGAATTTAAATTAAAAACACTTTTAAAAAATTCTACTATGGAATTCGAAGTCGTGTATGTTAGCTTACCTTAGCCAATTTTAACTACCAATACAAACGTTATGCTCATGAAATATTTTCACTCTCATATACATAACTGCTATCTTTTTTTATAATACATAAATTGTTAATTATGGTTGGAGAAAAACATTTACACCGTTACACATTCCTATTATTCATGTACAAAACTTTAAAGGTGTGATAAAAAAACTTTAAAGGTGTTTATGATAAATAAAATATATTAAAAAATGTAACGTTTGTGATTAATTAAAAGTATGACCAAAAATCATTTTTTTAATATAAAAAAGTTTATTAAATAAAAATTAAATTACATTACAAATTTATTATAAAATAAATAAAAATTGAAAAAGAGGAAAATTTATTTTACAATAATATCTATAGTATCTTTTTGAAATAAATAAAAATTATAGTTAAATAAAAATTTGGTGTAAACTTGATAAGTTTTGTCATTTTGTGAATAATATATATAATATTTTGGCTTAAATGCAGTTTTGGCTCTCTATTTATATTTTTCTGATTTTTTGAGTCTCTGTTTTCAAAATTCAGCATTTTAGTCCCTGAACATAATCTGTCTTTAAAACAATTTGATGGGATATCTAATTAATTTATAAAATTTAGCTATTGTGAAGCTTTTGCTTAGCGAGTAATTGATCTTTCCTAACGAAATGTCTTAAGAATTGGCAAAACATATTTTTACTTGTTTCAGTTCTAAACATGAAATTAGCATAAAAGAAAGTTTAAAGCTAAGAAATTGGATTTCCTCCCAATAAGCTCTTGCTTAACTTCATTAGCTCGATACATTTATGAATTTTATCGAGATATGCAGTTTCTCCAATGCCATAAAGAATGGTATGTTTATATTGAGTCTTTTAAAAATGTCTAGAAATCTTGAATATTGCGTTTTCTTATCGTTCTTGGTTGGAGTTTGGGAATAAGAAAGACTTTGAACATGTGGTTTATTCATCTTTTCCTCCCTTGCTTTTTGACCATTTTTCTTCTCTTCTCTTATTTTTTTGTCCAACTCCTTTTCTTTTTCATTTGCATCTTTCCAACTTTCTTCTTCCTTTTCCTCATTTTTTACTCAACCACAACTCTTTTCATTTCTTCATTATTACCGTTATTACTCACTTTTCTGCTTCTAGGTGGAATGGCTTTGCAGTTTTCCTTTGGGTTGGCTTGAGTTTCGAGATTTTTAATTGACACATTCGTGTTTTTTAGGTCTTACTATAGCATCTGCCTAAAATGATTTAGAGTATCTTCTAATTTTGAAATTTTGTCTTGAATAGGAGGAGTTTGGTTGTAATTCTTGTATGGCTATTGTCTGTTGGATGGTCTTGCATCTTATCTCCGTCCTTGATTATAATTAGAATTGTTATTGTTGTTGTTTTCCCAAAAATTCTCTTCTTCATCAGATGGAGGAGAATAACATATGGAATTGTTTCTAGTGAAAAAGAAAATAATAATAAGCATGCATGTGTTAAGCATCTCTTGCATTTGTTGTGGAGGCTTTGAACCACTTTGTTTCTCCCAACAAGGTTGATAATTTTCCTAAAGATAATACCTACATTCTCTATGAAATAACTTAACCCATAAATCATATGAACTACCTACGTTCATCCAATGAGCTTGTGTGTTAGCCTAATGAGAATGTCTCAGAAAAGATGTTTTCATCATTGGCATCTCTTTATTGGAAGAGCCCTTGCTTCTCCCTATGAGTCATATACTACTCAACATCTATGGTTTTTTATTTTCTTTAATATTTTCACATGTAATTATGAATGACATAGTTAAAATATTTGCGCAAATATTTTATCTCCTTTTATGACAATTTAGGTGGGTTTTCATATGATATTTTGTTATATAAGTTAATAAGTGCTAATATGTGAAGCAACTAGAGAAAATAAACAATGAAGTTGCCACCAAATATTTATTTATCCCACACAAGGGAAAGGAAATCATCAAAAAAACTTGAGAAAAGAAAAATCAAGTCTTGCAACCAAGAGATCGGGTATGGGAGTTGATTACGCAAGGGAAGATATTATCACCCCTCACGTCCATGGTACTCCACGAGATACACTATTATTATTCTAATCAAAGGGTGTGTCAAATTTAAAGATAACAAGCTAAGGGGAATTCATGAATGCAGAGTATATACAAAAAAGAAAGTTTTTATTAGTTAAACAATTAGAAGACATGACTTCAAACAATGTTAAAAGAATCAAGAAAATAAGAAGCAAGAGTGGATAGCTAAGTTTAAACATGCTTTAAGACATCATAAATTATCACCAAGAGGTCACATGTTAACAAACATCTCCTAACTAAAACAAGCATGCATGGTGAAGGAAGATGAAACTCAAACAAGTGGCAAAAATTGAACAAAGTCTAAGAAAATTAGTAAACATACAAAGGGAATCCAAATCTAATCAAAGTAAACATTAGGACAAGTAAAAGGACCCCCTAAGGGTCATTCACAAGAGGTAATGACTTAAAAGTCACAAGAGAAGTCACATATGTAAGCACACTAGCTAATGAAGACTTATGTATCAAATGCCTAATTTATCCTAGTATAGAGAGGTGAAATGAAATAAAAGAGATGAACAAGTGTGTATTTCAGTAGCAAAAACATCAAGATCATATAATCATTATACAAGAATTCTTGAAAAAGAATCACAATCAACTTATACAAGAAAAGGTAACTACATAACCCTAAGTGGACATAAGTCCTCATGCAATGTTATCAATCAAAACAAGATGAAAGAGGAGGTATATGGTAAGATTTAGAGGAGAAAAACATATACATGTTATTAAATTATCACAAGTCTCATGATTAATAATAAGTTCAATTAGGAATTGAATTCATGGTAGAAGCACCAAAGTACACAAGCATCATTCAAAGTTGTGAAGTGAATACAAGTGTGTGAGAAATTAAGCATAACATATAGGCATCAAAAGAAATGAATTAAGAAGCTAATAAATGTGTTTAATACACAAAATAAAACTTAATGCATCACAAAGGCATCATGGCAAAGCATACTCAAGGATTGAAGCAAGTAAGGACCAAAACCAAACCCTAAACTTCTCCTAATGGCATGTGAACTTTCAAGCAAGATATAGATGAAAAGAGATCATGGTAAAGTGTTTTAAAACCATACAACTCCGAAAATAACGGGCTATAATGATACTCACTCAAGCATTTTAATCAACAATTGAAGATGGCATAAGAACTTTAAGATAAAACACCAAAACTAGCCAAGTATGCATGTAGTCAAACAAGCTTTGGTATGAACACTTAGGCTTAGTATGATCAAGTGAAGAAGTTAATTTTATGGTAAGTAACTCAATATGAAAAATAAAGAATGACCAATAGAATTTGTCTAAATCATTATGCACAAAAGTTGATCTCAAGGAACTTGTCAAGCAAGCAAGCATGTAGTCCACATTATGAAACAAACATAGTAAATGAATTACTTGTAGAAGTAAACTAAATGTTGATGTACTTAAGTGTTATGGGAAGTAGAAAACATTAATTATCACCAACAAGGAATTGGTCCAAAGCATTGAAAAGATCATTAGGCAATAAGTTCAACAAACTCAAGAAAATAAGGAGAAT